ACAACGAATTCTTACAAAAATTATAAGATCTTATAAAGAATTATTAGATAGTAATTTTTAAATACAGGGAATCAAAAGATGATACTTTCCGGGAAATGTTTTGAAAATTGTTTTCGAATACTCTACATTATAGAATTGTGTATCTACATAATTATAGTATTACAAACGAGTACGTCGGTATAATTCTCGTTAATATTATTGTCACGGTAATCAAATTCAAAATGTCACAGGGCTTTAATATTCTGTGCCAAAACATTTCCTGTAAGCTGGAGGATTTTAAGAAAATATTAATATGATTATGGGAGCGTATTGATCGGTGAAGTATCCCCTGGGTATTGTTGCCAAGGCAACGAATTTTATTGAACGTCATTTAGATGGTTGGAGTTAAGCTCTGACATGCGTAAATTATTAGCAAAATTTGCACCCAAGAAGTATTTTTTTTTTGTTATTTAAGGTCGCATGAACATCTAGGTCATTGACAACCACTGTTGCATTTAAAGGTATGGTAACTGTGAAGATGACATGATATGGTGATGATAGGGAGTACAAGGACGAACAGAAATACAACCATGCCCGAGGCGAGACCCGAAGGCGCAATCCTGCGGTCCGAGATCGCTAGTGCACTACTGTCTTAACGATCTTGGCTATTCGGACCGGCAGGGCAATTTTCTTAACCGGTTAGATCCGGCGTTCTCGTTTGAGAAAGCACATTTCTAGTTAACTTAAATTTATGAGTCGAACTTGAAATTTGAAAACTGAATTTGTATTGCGTTCATATATATGAATTGTATGTCCTCAATAACTCATCGTTTGAGGGTGCCTAAAAAGTATATTTTAACATCAACACAACAATTCGGCAATAAAATTTGTGAGCAGGTGCTGATACCCAAGTACAACAGTTCCCCTAAGCGCACTAGTAGTCAACCATGCGCTTTCACGACAGTGAGCAAAATTAATTCGGGTGCAAATAAATTAATAAAAAATATTTTTTATGAATAAATATTCTTTTAGTGCTGTGCTCAAGCACTTTTCATGAAGCTAGCCTTGGGGGATTAAGTCCCAAATATTTAAAGAACATTACATCAAACGATTTAAACAGCAAAATATCTGTTTAAAAATTATAGAAAGGCTATGGCCACAGAAGGGGCTATGGCCACAATATTTAAAATTCAACAAAAATGTATAGGATATGTCGTGAGATCTAAATAATGTTCAGAACGCTGTACGTTGTGACATGACATATAGATATGGGTTGAATTTTAAATATTATCTGCATCTACAGCATTAAACCTTTTACAAGTCCGTACATGTCTTGCGTGTCCTGTGAGAAAGCATAGGAAACATGCCAGCACCAATTAAAATATTTCACTATTTTAAATAGCCAAAATCTGTGTTTGATTGCCTTTGAAAATAGTTTTTATTCCGCGAAGGTGAATGTTTTATTACCAGTTCTTACCAAAAACGATCGTTGCTACCCGTTTTCATAATTGACCTTAATTTGAATGCGAGTTAAGGTAGAGATCCTAGAGCTAAAGAAACTGCATACAATTTGCATTTCTTACCATAATACATCACACACAGTTTTTAAATGTTTTCGACGTTAAATAAATAATGGCCACATATTTTTGTAAACTATAATGTGCACTCCAGAAATGACTCATAAAAACTCTCGATAAATTTATCTGCACTAGGAGATCTTTTGGATGCATATTACGTTTCATTTAAGTATCATTTCTCATAACGTAATAACCAGCATTCATCCATCTTTTTATAACATATTTTGTAGATACCTACGCGGAGATATTTTACAGACGTGTAAAGAAAAGTCTATAGTAAACGGTCTATCAATTCTGGATTTTGCCACGCACTCGCTCACATTACTATCGTTCATTTGTGTGATCTTCACTTACTAATGTGAATTCATGATGAATAGCAAAATACGAGTAGTTTTCACTTTTTGCAAACAAATTATGTTTTCACTTTTTGCAAACAAATTATGTTTTCACTTTTTGCAAACAAATTATGTTAGCACACAGTACTTCTCCCTAAAATTGATATTATTGACTATATTTCTTCATACGCTGCATTCTGCTCACACGAAAGACTGAAAGGCACATTTTCTGCTGAGCAAACAGCTTTATCTCTACCCTAGTAGTTGCTGTAGCACTAGCGTGTGGTGTCAAGGCAAAAATGCATGAATTAGTCGCTTATTCCATTAGCATCATTCCAAAAGCAGCTTATTCCATTAGCGAAGATTTTACAGAACAATATCTCTCGTCTACACGCAAAGAAACGGAATGTGTACTCGCCACATTTTAACTGAGAATAAGCCGGATTTGAACTATACCATTTTTTGGGGGAAGTTAAGAAGGACCCCTTCCTAAACTTAACAAAAATGCAAATAAGTGAATTTTGGTAAATAAGGAAATCAGCAGACTGAAATAGCAAACACATCACTTCAGGTGTGCTCTTCGCAAATTGAGCGATATTTCTGTTTTCCTTTTTAATTTCTCATTATCATATTGAGTGAATTGAATCCAAACTTCTTGTGGCGCTGTGGTCTGAATTGGAACGTCCTGGATCCATCACCGGTGCCACCTAAAGACGTGTACATCCGATTTATTAAATGTTGATGGGACACAATCCAAGTAGTAATTGATTTAAAATATCATCAAATATACATGATACTTAGCATAGCATTCCCAGTATTTCTTGCGTTTTACAATGTGTCTCAATATGAATAGATATTGAAAATATCGATATTGAAAGTTTGGATTGTGTTCAGAAATCGATATTTTGTTACGCTGTAGGTATCTATATCACATCATATCCAATCAAGTATTACAGCATCTCTACTACTACCCAGAGAGTTTCGCCAGCGCTCTGCCGCCGCCCGCCCCCTCGCGCCGTCGCTGCCGTCCACCGCATCGCAAGCCGCGCTTTACGCTTTGCCACCGCCCCGCGCCACGCCCCTCCCGTTCACCCTCCCCTCCCCCTTCCCACCCCCGGCCTTCGCACGCGTGCGCGGCGGGCCCGCCGCGAAAGCCCCGTGGTCGGGAAGATTTACAGTGTGACGCACGGGGGCCGAGGCTTCGGAGGCCACGTCATGGCCCTTGGGGTCCCATTTGAAACCGCCGGTGACACTGCGGCTCCATGTACTGTTAAGAGGCTTTTACCTAATGGAAAGTTGCAAATCTAGGCCCAGCCGGCCCCCCTCCGCCTATACGAGGGACTTCTCTCGCTTCTCTGCATGCACAATTCAGCCGAGCTGACTAACGTTAGTGCTAAGTCCGCCCCTCGGCATTAGGTGTCAGTTCCCGGTCGCATCCTCCGCTCTCACTAGACTCCGCAGAGTTCATGAGTAACCCGTGATCATAGTAAACTTCTCCCAAGTCGTACATTGCTCAAATCTAACGAGGGCTAGAGTTATGAACTCACAGGGCCTGAGTTTGGAGTGCCTAATCTTTTGGTCCTCTCAGAGGGACGAGAGACTCTTTGTTAAAAACAGAACACCAAGTTAGGTAAAACATAATGGTATAAAATACACATGCTGTAAATAGTACTTCCGTTTTTAATAACGAGTTCATCAAGTGTTAAAAAGAATATCATTAAACCAATTATATTATATTTGTTTCATTATTTTGTGTCCAAAGCTTACATCACAAGTTATTTTTACAAATCCACGGGTTTTGGATGGGACCCTTTAACCATTTTGATTCCAGAGCTAATTCGTGCTCCACAATGATGCATTGTGGACGAGGCCACAATGATACATCCGACCCACTCACAAAATCCATTCACCATTTCCCCTAAGAGCAGTCTGTCATCTCGGGGAAAGAAAATTCGACATTCAGAGAGGGTGGACAAACAAATGACAGTTACTTTCTCCACCGCAATATCATTTTCTTTGCATCATCAACAATGGCGTAACTGACACGCTGCGATACTCCCCACAAAGGATTTCAATGGGCCTCTACAAATATTGTACATAATTCAATTGTACGTTAACAAATATGTGTTAAAAATAAATATAGTGTTTACAATAACTTTCTTATGGCAAGTTAGTAAAGGAGTGTATTTTTTAGTTAGCGTGAAGCTGCTACTCTCCTAATGTTAACACAAACGTTTAACGTTAAGACTTATAGACTGCGTGGTACAGCGGATGCTTTCAAAACAATAATTATAAAATTACGGTTAATAACTTCAACCACAGTTTCTCCCAATTCCACCTACAGGCATGGACGAGACACGAGAATATAGAAGGCGATAGCAAATTTATAACGAACACGTAATAGTTTACAAATCTTACAAGACACCACGTAAATCTATAGTACTCCTCTCGGTTACGCAAGTACTTAATATAAATACTTTTTACTTAATTACTTTTTACTTAATATAAATTTACTTAATATAAATAAAAAAGTAAAACGCTCGTATATCAAACATTTCCGCGATATTTCCGATCTACGCCAGGCGAATGCCGGAGCAGTATCCTAAGCACCGGGTTACCGATTGCGCGCGATCTTTCCTTCCTCTTCCATGTCCCATCCTCACTCCTTACACTCACATGCATTACACTATCAAACTTGTCAGGAGGCCTGTCGGGAGCTTAGAGCGTGTCCCGGCTGGGGCGGTGCTCTGGTTATAGGGATAGGCTAGTGGGGTCTATCCTGGTTACGGATAGACCCCACTAGCCGACGTAGGTCGGCACCAGATTTCGCCAGTGAGCGAGAGAAGATCACAACTAAGATCCACAACGAAAACATGCACTACAATTACGGGGATGATAACCTTGGCAGTAAACACCCCCGGAATCATTAATCAATCAAATGTTTATCAGTAAAAAAAGGATGACTCACCTCCTTGCCCTTGACGTCCCGCCAGCGCACCCACTTGCCCAGGCGCGGCCGCCAGTACTCCAGCATGTAGGCCTCGGCGTACTCCTGGCCCTGGCCGTTTCCGAAGCGGCCCTGCGTCTCCGTCGCGGTGATCATGTACACCTGGTGCAGGTCCACCTCCAGCCACTCGCGGGGCTCCGTTGTGATCTGCTGCTTGGGGCACCACGCGCCGCCGTGGCTCTCCGTGCGCACGCTGGAACACGCGACGCCACACCTCAGTCTCTGATCCGCCCCGCCCTCCCCCTCACTCCGTCATCAGCGCTCCGCTCCGCCTCGCTCCGCCTCGCTCCGCCTCGCTCCGCCTCGCTCCGCCTCGTCCGCCTCGCTCTCGGCCTCGCTCCGCCCCTCGCTCCGGCCTCGCTCCGCCCTCGCTCTGCCGCCGCCTCCGCTCTCGCGCTCCGCCCTCCGCCTCATCGCTCGTCCTCGCTCCGTCCTCGGCTCCGCCTCGCTCCCTCGCTTCGCTCTCATCCTCCGTCGCCCGCTCGCGTCCACTGGCTCTGTGTGCGCCGCTCGCTCCCTCGCTCCCGCTCCGCCGTCCCTCGCTCCGTCGCCCTGCTCCGCCGGTCCGCCCGCCCCGCCCCGTCCGCGCCCGCTCCGCCCCGCTCCAGCCGCGCCCGTCTCCGCCCGCTCCGCCCCGCTCCGCCCGCTCCGCCGCCCGCTCGCCCGCTCCGCCCCCCTCCGCCCCGCTCGCCGCCCCGCCGCTCCGCCCCGCTCGCCCCGCTCCGCCCGGCCCCGCTCCCGCCCGGCCCGCTCGGCTCGCCGCTCCCCCCGCCCCGCCCCGCTCTTACAGCCCCCTCGCGCCCGCTCGCCCGCTCCGCACCGCTCCGCCCCGCCGCCGCTCGCGCCCGCTCCGCCCCGCTCGCATCTGCGGCCCGCCTGCTCCGCGCTCGCTCCGCGCGCCTCTGTTTTGCTCCTTTGAGACTGCACCAAGCCGGGTCCTCAGCCGTTTCGTCCCCTTGTCCGAGTCCATCCTGCCCATTACATGGCTGCTTTTCTGCACACCGCGCTGCCTCCCAATTCGCTGATCTCCCTGCCATTCGCTCGTTTCTCCTCCTACCCACGATTTCCTCTCTGCTGTTCTCGCTTCCGCGGCCTCTGCGCTGCTCCAGCCATTTGTATTTTTTCCCGCTGCCCCCCGCTAGCCCCGCTCCACCTCGCTTTGGCTCGCTTCGACTCGATCCATCCCTATTCTCCCCACTCCATGCTTCCCCTTACTACACGCAGCTTCTTTCTCCCATTTGCGCATTTGCTCCTTTCACAACTGTTCACCAGCTTCTCCCGCTCCGCCCCGCTTTTGCTTGCTCTGACCCGCTTCACCCCACACCCCCATTGCCTCCACCCCGAGCGCTTTGCTCAGTTCTACTACGCTTCCCTCCTCCCTCTCTCTTCTGCTCAACGAGTTCTACCTTATCCAGTGCCTCCGCCACGCGGGGGGTCTCCACATTGGCAGATGTCACCCCCCCCCCCCC